AATGGGTGTTGCACCTTATCAAAAGCTTTTTCCACGTCTATTGATATGATCATGTGGTTTTTGTCTTTGCTTTTGTTTATGTGATGTATTACATTTACTGATTTGGGAATATAGAACCATGCATTCCTGGGTTGAATCCCACTTGGTCATGGTGTATGATTTTTTTGATATATTGTTGGATGCAATTTGCCAATATTTTGTTAAGGATTTTAGTGTCTATGTTCATCAGTGATATTGGCCTGAAGTTTCCTTTCTTTGTTGTGTCTCTATCTGGTTTTGGAATTAGGATGATGCTGGCTTCATAAAAAGAATTTGGGAGTTTTTCATCTTTTTGGATTTTTTGGAATAGTCTGTGAAGAATGGGGGTTAGCTCTTCCTTATATGCTTTGTAGAATTCTCCTGTGGACCCATCTGGTTCAGTGCTTTTGTGTGATGGGAGTTTTTTTATTACTGCTTCAATTTCTTTTGCTGTTATTGGTGTGTTTAGATTTTCTGCTTCTTTTTCATTGAGTTTTTGAAGATTATATTTTTCTAGAAATGTGTCCATTTCCCCTAGGTTTTCAAACTTCTTGGCATACAGTTCTTCATAGTAATTTCTTACAATCCTTTCTATTTCTGTGGTATCAGTTGTAATCTCTCCTGTTTCATTTCTGATTGTGTTTATTTGTGTCTTCTCTCTTCTTTTCTTGATGAGCCTACAAAAGGCTTGTCTATTTTGTTTATCTTCTCAAAGAACCAACTCCTGGATTCATTGATCCTTAGAATTGTGCTTTTAGTCTCTATGTCATTTAATTCTGCTCTGATGTTGGTTATTTCCTTCCTTCTGCTTGCTCTGGGCTGTCTTTGTTGTTGTTCTTCAAGTTCTTGTAAGAGTGTGGTTAGGTTGTTTGTTTGAAATGTTTCTATCTTCTTTAGGTAGGCCTGTATTGCTATAAACTTCCCTCTCAGGACTGCCTTGGCTGTGTCCCATAAGTTTTGGGTTGTGTGAGATCGTTTTCATTTGTTTCCAAAATGTTTTGATTTCTTCCGTAATTTCATTCTTGACCCATTTGTTGTTTAATAGCATACCATTCAACCTCCATGATTTTGGGTGCTTTGGGTTTTTTCCTTTGGGGTTGGTTTCCAGTTTCAGTCCCTTGTGGTCAGAGAAAATGCTTGGTATGATTTCAATTTTCTTGAATTTTTTGAGGCTCGTATTGTGTCCTATCATGTGGTCTATCTTTGAAAATGTTCCATGTGCATTTGAAAAGAATGTGTATTTAGCTTCTTTGGGATGAAGGGCTCTATATATATCAGTTAAGTTCATTTCATCTAGGGTGTTGTTTAATGCCACAATATCTGTGTTGATATTTTGTTTGGAAGATCTGTCCATTTTTTATAGTGGGGTGTTAAAATCCCCTACCCTAATTGTGTTGCTGTCAATATCTTTTTTGAAGTCCTCAAAGATTTTCTTTATATATTTGGGTGCCCCTATGTTTGGTGCATATATGTTTATGATGTTAATGTCTTCTTTGTGGTTTCTTCCCTTATTATGAAGTCACTTATTATGAAGTGACCTTTGGGATCTCTGTTTATGGACCCTTTTTTGAAGTCTATTTTGTCTGATATGAGAATTGCTACCCCACCTTTATTTTCTTGTCCGTTTGGTTGGAAAACTTGTTTCCAGCCTTTCACTTTTAGTCTGTGATGGTGTTTTGCCCTGAGGTGGGTCTCTTGTAGGCAGACCCCATGTGTGGGTCATGCTTTCTTATCCATGCAACAATTCTGTGTCTTTGGATTGGAGCATTTAATCCATTTACATTTAAGGTTATTATTGATAGGTACTTACTCATTTCCATTTTTGTACCTGTGTTCCTCTCTGTCTCCCTTTTTTCCTTCCTTTTCTTAATGCAGACTTTTTAGTATATCTTGTAGAGCTGGCTTGGTGGAGGCATATTCTTTTAGACTTTTTTTTGTCTTGGAAGCTCTTTATTTGGCCTTCTATCTTGATTGAAAGCCTTTCTTGGTAAAGAAGCCTTGGTTGTAGGCCTCTGTTTCTCATTACTTGGAATATTTCTTGCCATTCTCTTCTTGCTTGGAGTGTTTCTATTGAGAAGTCAGTGGCTAACCTTATTGGGGCTCCCTTGTATGTTACTTTTTTTTTCTCCCTTGCTGCCTTTAAGATTCTCTCTTTGTCTTGGAATTTTGCCATCTTAATAATAATGTGTCTTGAGGTGGGCGCCTTGGGGTTCCTCTTGAATGGGACTGTGTGTGATTCCTGGATTTGTGTTACTTTTTCTCTCATCAAATTAGGAAAATTTTCTCTCATTACTCTTTTAAATACGTTTTCTATTCCTTGTTCTTCTTCTTGTCCTTCTGGTATTCCTATTGTTCAGATATTATTATATTTCATATTGTCTTGCATTTCTCTGAATCCTTCTTTATTCTTTCTGAGCCTCTTTTCCCTTTTTTGTTCTTTCTGTGAGATGCTTTCTACTTTGTCCTCCAACACACTAATTCTATCCTCTGTCTCATTTACCCTATTTTTAATGCTTTCTACTGTGTTTTTTAATTCAGAAATTGCATTCTTCATTTCCTCTTGGCCCTTGCTGATATTTGCTATTTCCTTTTTCATGTTGATGTAGTTAGCAGAGAGATCATTGTAGTCCCCTATAGTTTCTGGTAGCTCATTGTGAGCTTGTTGAATTTCCTGATAACCAGTGCTTTGAATTCACTATCTGATAGTTGATTAGCCTCTATTTCATCTAACATTGTTTCTGAAGTTTCTGTTTTTTCTTTCATTTGGAGATTATTTCTTTGTCTTGCCATTGTTTGAGACTCTTCTTGTTAATCTCAGCTTCTAAAATTGATCTGTTCTGATTCCCTGGCTTTATGGTGTGAACTTCTGTGGTGTAATACCTGTGGATTTTAGTGGTGCAGACTCCTTCCGGTATCTTGATGTTCTCCGTCTCCACCTACTCTCGCGCTGGTCCTTGACCTGGTTACTGCGGCTGGTCGCCTACTACTGCTGGGCATCTGGGTTTCTATAGCCGACTCCTCTGGTGCCCAGGTCTGTCGCAGGGGCTGCGCTTCAGTAGCTGCCTCCCCGGTGCACAGGCCCATTGCTATGGCAGTGGCACAGGGGCCGTGGGGGATCCTGGCGCCCGTAGCTTACTCTGCCACTGTCTGGTGTTTCAGCGTTGGTCACAGTCTCTAGTCTTTTAATTTCATAAATGCTGGGTGACCAATGGTTTATTGTGCTATTTCTCTATAGATCAGCCAGGATTTTCACCCGTGAGTACTACAGGAGCTAGAATCCACTCCTTCTACTCTGTCACCATCTTCCCAGCATCCCCCAAGACATGGGTTTTTTATGGGTTTCATATTCTATTCCTTTGATCTATGTATCCTTATGCCAGTACCAGAGTGTTTTGATTAAAGTGGCCTTGTAATATAGTTTGATATCAGGTATTATGATTCCTCCAACTTTGTTCTTTTTTGTTAAAATTGATGTGGGTAATTGGTTCCATATAAATTTTGAAGTATTTCTTCTACATCTGTAAAATATGCCATTGGTATTTTAATAGAATTGCATTAAATCTATAGATTGCTTTGGGTAGTATGGACATTTAGTGATGTTAAATCTCCTAATCCATGAATATATTGTATGATTCCACTTATTTTTATCTTTCTCAGTTTCTTTCTTCAGTATTCTATAGTTTTTCGAGTACAGGTCTTTAACCTCCTTGGTTAAATTTATTCCTTGGTACTTTATTTTATTTATTATTATTGTTATTATTTGCTGCTGTAGTAAATGGGATTTTTTGTTGTTTCTCTTTCTGATAGTTCATTGTTGGTGTACAAAAATGCCTTCGATTTCTGAATAATGATTTTGTATCCTGTTCCTTTGCTGAATTTACTTATTAGGTTGAGTAGTTTTTTGGTGGTGTCTATAGGGTTTTCTTTGTCCACTACCATGTCATCTAAATAACAACAGTTTTACTTCTGCTTTTCCATTTTGAATGCCTTGTATTTCTTCTTCTTGTCTGATTGCTGGGGCAAGACCTCCAGTACTACTTTAAATAAGAGTGGTGAAAGCAGACACCCCTGTCTTGCTCCTGACCTTTAAAGAAACACTTTTAGTTTTTGCCCATTTTATGATCTTTAGCAGTAGGTTTTTTTGTATATGGCCTCTATTATGTGGAGGTATGCTGCCTCTATTGCCACTTCATTGAGTGTTTTTTTATCTAAAATGGGTGCTGTATTTTGTCAAATGCTTTTTCAGCATTAATTGATATGATCACATGAATTTTGTCTTTCATTTTGTTTATGTGGTATATCATATTTATTGATTTGAGAATATTGTACCATCCTGTATCCCTGAAATAAATCCTACTTGATAATGGTATATGTTCTTTCCAATGTATTGTTGAATTCAGTTTGATAGTATTTTGTTGAGAGAATTTTAGTATCTATGTTCACCAGAGATATTGGCTGGTAATTTTCTTTCTCTGTTATGTCTTTATCTGGTTTTGGGATGAGGATGATAGTGGCCTCATAAAAAGACTGGGAGTCTTCTTAGAGAAAAAAAATTCAGTCTATATTTATATCTCCTGAAAAATGGGAAGGAGAGAATAATGAGTTTTATCAAACAGAGAGATAAGATGGTCATTTCTGTAGACATAGATCATCATCACTATTGTTCCTGGGACATTTGGGGCTAAATTAGGGCATATCAGTCATAGTAAGAGAAGCAGCTGAGCACCATGTGATCACAAATTAATGCTGTCTACACTTCTTGGTTCTGTAAGTAATGATAGGTATATTGTTATAAATGTTTACTGAAGATTTATCCTCATATATTCCTGGGAATACAGCTAAAAATATCAATACACGTATCAATTGTGGGAAGTTGGTATAATGGAATAGGGTTGTGATGTAGAAAACTACAACTAGTATACAGTCAGGGAAAAATAAAATGGAAATAGAGAATCCTTTTGTAATTTGCCATTCAGTATCCTTTAGTTGTTTGAGACAGATGGAGCCCTTTTGAGTATGTTTTTGAAAGCTTGTACCACTTGCTTGTTCCTTAGAGTATAAATAAAGGGATTCGTTACTGGAGCAACTGAAGTGGTCAGCACTGACACCACCTTATTAACAGCTACTCCTTCTTTTGAAGATGGTTTAATATAGATAAAGATGCAACTTCCATAAGTGATTGAAACCACAATGATATGGGAAGGACATGTGGAAAAAGCCTTTTTTCTTTGCTGGGCAGAAGGGAATCTGAGAATGGTCCTGATGATATATGTGTAGGACATACTTATACACACCAAGGTGAAAATGAGTGTCAACACAGCAAGGACCAAGACAAACTGCTCTATAAACTTTGTGTCTGAGTAGGTAATCTTTAGAATGGGAGCAGCATCACATTCAAAGTGATCTATGACATTGGAGTCACAAAACTCAAGCTCAAAGCCCATGCCGAATGGTCGAATGATGATGATTAGAGCAATCATGTAACAGGCAATAAGGAGCTTGATACAGACTCTGTTGTTCATGATGGTCATGTAATGCAGGGGTTTGCAGGTGGCCATGTAATGGTCATAGGACATGGCCAGCAGGGGAAAAAACTCAGCCACACCTAGGACAACAATAAAGAATAATTGAGTGGAACATGCATTGTAGGTAACAGTGTTGTCCCCAGATGCCACTATGTAGAGGAATCTGGGAATGCACACAGTTGTAAAGGAAACTTCCAAGATGGAGAAATTTCGAAGGAAAAAATACATGGGTGTTTTAAGGTGAGAGTCATGATGGTTATATTCACAACAACACTAAATAAGTAGGTTAGAAACAAAAAAAAATAAAAAGCAGAATCTGTAGTTTTGGGTCATCTGTTAGTCCCACCAGGATCAATGTAGTTATTGCTGTGTAATTTTCCACCACTGATTCCTGACTATGGCCTGTCCTGTGCATAAAAATAAGAGAGAAATAAACTATCAGCATGCAGCAGGTAAAAGTGTTAGCTAAGCCAAGATTTCATTTCCCTTATTACCTTGTAATTAAGAATGTTGTTGGAGTGATACTCGATAATTAACCACTAGTGCTACCAGACTTGTGCTACTGAACATTAAACCACATGCCAGCCAGAAGGGTCTTATTAAAGATTCTTATTACTATATTGTTTAGTATTAAATAAATAGTAGAGGGATTTTTATTATGAACAAGCCCAAGAAAATAAAAGTATTTTACATTATCTGTGTTGTAAACAGAAAAGCTATGTCATAAAATCTGCATGCTTTGTCATGTCAAGACATTAATACTTTGGAGAGATCCAAGATGGTGGAGGAATGAGTGGAGGCTTCACTAACCTTCCCGAGGACCAATCTGGAATTATAATTAAGTTGTAGAGAAGTCATTTGGAATAAACACTTGAGCACTAGTGGGAGAGAAGACTTATAACCATGGACAGAGAGAAGAAATAGCTTTACCTCAACATGACTGGTATGGAGCGAGGAGGAGATGTGAGAGGGTTGGATGGGCTCCCATGGGTGGCAGCTGAAGTGCCAGAGGAATATTTTAGTAGCCAGAGGGTCCCATTGAGAAATGCGGAATGTAAACCCCAAGCTGGGTTCCACAGTCTATACCACCAGAGCCCAAGAAGTACCCAGATAACATCCAACTGTGAAAAGCAGCAGTTTCTCTCTGCCAGGAACAGACACCTGGAGATGTAGAGAGCCTTTTAAAGGGCCAATTCATAATTTTTAATTTGCAGCCACTTACCCTAGGCTTTGGCAAAGGGGGAGTGCAGAGTAGACTAGAGATGCTTGAGGGGAGCCTGGGGTTGGTGGCTTTGGGGAAAGAGCTGAGAGAGCAGCTGTCAGGATCCTAGTGCTGGATCATTCCCTCAAACTGCAGGAGCCATCTTTTTAAAAAAATTATATTTTATTGATTATGCCATTACAGTTGTCCCATTCCCCCCTTCATTCCCCTCCACCCTGCACACCCCATCCCCCCACACTCCCCCCTTTAGTTCATGTCCATGTGTCACAAGTTCTTTAGTTTCTACATTTCCCATACTATCTTGCCTTCCCCCTGTCTATTTTCTCCCCACCGTCTATGCTACTTATTTTCTGCACCTTCTCCCCACTTCTCCTCCTCCCACTCCTCTATTGCTAGCCCTCCATGTGATTTTCATTTCTATGGTTTTGCTCCTGATCTAGCTGCCCACTTAGTTTGCTTTTGTTTTAGGTGTGGTTGTTAATAACTGTGAGTTTTCTGTCCTTTCACTATTGATATTTTTATTTTCTTTTTCTTAGATAAGTTCCTTTAACATTTCATATAATAAGGGCTTGGTGATGATGAACTCCTTGAACTTGACCTTATATGAGAAGCACTTTATCTGTCCTTCCATTCTAAATAAAAGCTTTGCTGGATAGAGTAATCTTGGATGTAGGTACTTCTCTTTCATGACTTGGAATACTTCTTTCCAGCTCCTTCTTGCCTGTAAGGTCTCTTTTGAGAAATCAGCTGACAGTCTGATGGAACTCCTTTGTAGGTGACTGTCTCCTTATCTCTTGTTTCTAGAATTCTCTTCTTCATTTTAAGCTTGGCTAATGTAATTATGATGTGCCTTTCTGTGTTCCTTCTTGGGTCCATCTTCTTTGGGACTCTCTGAGCTTCCTGGATTTTCTGGAAGTCCATTTCCTTTGCCAGATTGGTGAAGTTCTCCTTTATTATTTGTTCAAATAAGTTTTCTACTTGTTGCTCTTCCTCTTCCCCTTCTGGTACTCCTATAATTTGGATGTTGGGTTCCTAAGCCTTTCCTTATTTTTTTGAATTCTTGTTTCTTCATTCTGATTTGGTTGAATGTTTCTTTCTTCTTTCTGGTCCACTCCATTGATTTCAGTCTGTTTTCTTTCCATCACTATTGGTTCCCTGTGCATTTTGGTTCATTTCACTTAGTGTAGCCTTCATTTTTTCATTTAATTTGTGACTAAAATCAACCAGTTCTGTGAGCATCCTGATCACCAGTGTTTTGAACTGTGCATCTGATATGATGCTATCATCATATTTGATACTGTGCTATCTCTTTGTTGCTTAGAAGTATTGGCTCTGGGGCTTTGAGCTGTTCTTCTGCTTGAGCCATAATATTTTGGTCTGTTTGTGCCTGTTATGTATGAGGGGCAGAGCCTTAGGTATTCACCAGGATAGGGCAACCCAAGTTGCTGGGTTTTGACGCTGTATGTGGGGGTGGGGTTAGAGAGGGAGCAATGGCGCTCGTTCTGCTCTCTCTCAGATTTCGGTCCCCTCTGCTGCTTCCTACAAGAAAATTGGGTCATTCTGGGGCTGATTCCTATGCGTGGGGGCTTGTGTGCATTCTAGGACCCTGTAGAGCTCTCCAATGAACTTTCCTGTGAGGGTTGGAGTCTCTCCCTGCGTCTCAATCCCCACAAGTGTTTTCAATCAGTGTTTTGAGGCTTTATTTCCTGGTGCTAGGACCCTGGTGTGTGCGATCTATCTCGCTCCCCAGTTATCTGTGCGTGAATATGGGACCACTGCCTGGTCAGTCAGCCAAGTTGCGCATGGTGCCCAGCTTCTCAGTTGCCACCTTGCTGGGTCTGCCTGTTGCCACCACATGCCTGGGGTCTGCCAGCCACCACCTGGGTGCCCAGGGTCTGCCTGTTTCTGCTTTGTGTGCCTGGGGTTCCTTGCTCACCCAATGTCACCACTTCCTGTGCCGCAACCCCTCTGCTGGGCCGCTGGACTCTGCCCCGCCTACTGATCTGGATAAAAGTGTCTATTTTAACTCCTTGGTTGTCAGACTTCCATATAGTTCAGTTTTCTTTCAGTTTTGGTTGTTACTTTGTTTCTGAATTGTTGTCCTTATTTCGGTTGTTCAAGGAGGCACAGTGTGTCTACCTATGTCTCCTTCTTGACCGGAAGTTCAAAGAGAGAATCTTAAAGGCAGCAAGGGAGAAACAGGAAGTAAAATACAAGGGAACTTCAATAAGGCTAGCAGCTGTTTTCTCAATACAAACACTACAAGGCAGAAGGGAATGACAAGAAATATTTAAGTAATGAGAAGCAAAGGCTTGTAACCAAGACTACTTTGCCCAGCAAGGCTCTCATTTAAAATGGAAGGCAAAATAAGGAGTTTCCCAGACAAAAGCAGGCTAAAAAAACACATCTCCAGAAAGTCAGCACTGCAGGAGATGCTAAAGGGACTGCCTTAAGAAGACAAAGGAAAAAAGAGGGAGGAGAGCACAATAACAAAGGAAAAAATGGCAGTGAACAAGTACCTGTCAATAATAACTTTAAGTGTAGGTGGACAAATGCTCCAATCAAGACATAGTGTAGCTGGATAGATAAGAAAGCATTCCCCACATATAGGTTGTGGAAACTCAGAAGAAAAGATCTACAGAGACTGAAATTGGAAGGATGGAAGAAAATATCCCAAGCAAACATACCTGAGAAGAAATAGAAATACTTATGTTAAATAAAATAAATTTCAAAACAAAGGCCATGAAGTGAGACAAAGGAGGATACTATATAATATTTAATGGAAAAATCCATCCAGCTACAGCCCTTGTAAACATATATGCACCCAAGATAGGAGCACCCAAATATATAAGGAAAGTCTTGGAGGACTTAAAGATATCAACAGCAATGCATTCATTGTAGGGAATTTTAATACCCCAACAGTGGTTAGATTTTCCCAACGAATAATCAATAATGTATTGTGGCATTGAACTATACTCAGGGTCAAATGAATTTAATTGATATATACAAAGCCTTTTACCCCAAAGAAGCCAAATGCACATTCTTTTCAAGTACACATAGAACATTTTCAAAGATAGGCCACATAACAAATCTCAACAAACTCATAAAAATTGAAATCATATCAAGCATCTTCTTGGGTCACAATGGCTTAAAACTAGAAACCAACTTGAAGGAAAAAAACTCAAAAACAGTCAAATTCATGGAAACTGAATAACATGCTATTAATGGAGACAACTGTACTTGGATAGCAATAAGAAAAATTAAAAAATAATGAGTGGGTTATCAATGAGATCAAGGAAGAAATCAAAGTTTTTCTGGAAACAAATGAAAACGAGCATACAACAACCCTAAACCTAAGGGACACAGCAAAGGCAGTCCTGAGAGGGAAGTTCATAGTAATATAGGCCTAACTAAAGGATAGAAAAATAATAAGGGAAAAGAGGGGAAGGGTCATCAAGGAATATATATATATATATAATACACATGGAGAAAGCCAAAAGGGGTAGGATCGAGGGTGGGAGATAGGGATGGGTGGGATGGTGGAGAGTCGTGGGGGGGGGAATGGAGACATATGTCCCTGAAGAACAATAAAAAACAAAAGATAGAAAAATTGCAAATAAACAACGTAACCCTACATCTACAAGAACTGGAAAAACAACAACAAAGCCCAGAGCAAGTACAAGGAAGGAAATAATCAAGATCAGAGCTGAATTAAAAGGTGTAGAAACTAAAAGAACAGTTCAAAGGATCAATAATTCCAGGAACTGGTTCTTGAAAAGCTAAACAGTATCAACAAATGATCCACCAGACTCATCAAGAAACAAAGAGAGAGGACCCAAATAAATAAAATCTAAAACGAAAGAGGAGAAATTACAACTGATACTGCAAATATAAAGGATTGTAGGAAATTACTATAAATACTGATATGCCAAGAAATTTGACAACCTGTGTGAAATGGACAAATTTTTAGAAATATATAATCTTCCAAAACTGAATCATGAAGAAGCAGAAATCCTGAATAGACTGACAACAATTAACAAATTTGAAGCAGTAATGAAAAAACTCCTGACATATGAAAGCTCTGGAGCAGACAGCTTCACAGGTGAATTTTACTAAACATTAAGGAAACAACTATCCTTCTCAATGTATTCCAAAAAAATTAATGTAGAGGGAAGACTCCCAAACTCTTATTA